CCAGACTGGAGTGCAGTGGCTGCTCCCGGCCACCGCAGCCTCGACTGCTGGACTCCGGCGATCCTTCCACCTCAGCCTTCCACCTCAGCCTTCCAAGTAGCTGGAACTACAGGTGCCCGCTACCACACCCGGCTTATTTTGATTTATTGTAGAGCTGAGGTCTCGCCAAGTTGCCCAGGCGGGTCTTGAACCTGCGGGCTCAGGCAATCCACTCACCTCAGCCTCCCAAATGCACCAAGCCCGGCTGATTAATGCTTTGAAAGGAGACTCTAACTCTAGAAATAGACAAACAATGATGTCTTAACATGAGCAAATGAGTTAAAGGGGATATCATGATTAAAACTGATGGAGAAAGATGAGCAAGAAAAAAAGGAATAGAAAAAATAAACAAGGAACTTTCCTACCAAAAGGAAAAACCATGCAAGGTGAGGTTCACAGGTGGGTCATGAAATCAGTTTAGGGGTTTAAAACAACTCTAGCAATACTCTAGACTAGAAAATACTAGGATTATGTAGAGAAGGTAGAAAGGTTAAGTATTATGACACTGTGTCATGATGTAGACATATATTCCTTTTCTTTTCTTCTTCTATTTATTTATTTATTTTTTGAGATGGGGTCTCATTATGTCACCCAGGCTGGAGTGCAGTGGGATCATGAGACCTTGACTCAAAAAACAAAAAAACCTACCACCTTCCGAATTAATCAAATTCTTTCTCTCTCTCTCTGAGTTGGCCTTCTACTCTGTTGCCCAGGCTGCAGTGCAGTGTGGCATTCTCATAGCTACCCTAGCATCGACCTGCTGGGTTCCGGCAGCTGGAACTACAGGCACACGTTACCAAGCCTGGGTAATTTTTTGATTTATTGTAGAGACAATAAATCTCACCATGTTGCCCAGGCAGGTCTTGAACCCATGGGCTCAGGCAATCCTCTCGCCTTGGCCTCCTTTCAAAGTGCTGGGATTATAGGTTTGAGCCACCGTGCCCAGCCAATTCTTACTGTATTTAAAAAATAAGAACAGGGCAGATGCAGTGGTTCAAGCCTGTAATCCCAGTTCTTTGGGAGACCAGGGCTAGAGAATTGCCCGAGCTTAGGAGTTTGAGACCAGCCTGAGCAACATGGTGAGACCTTGTCTCTACAACAAATAAAAAAATTAGCCGGGGATGGTGGCACATACCTGTGGTTCCAGGTACTTGAAAGGCTGAGGCGGAAGGATCACCTAAGTCCAGCAGGTCGAGGCCGTAGTGGCTGTGAGCAGTGTGCCATTGCACTCCAGCCTGGGTGACAGAGTGAGACTCCGACCAAAAAAAAAAAGAAACAATGATTTCCAAGAAAGAAAATGACATGAGATTCTTTAAAATGTTGCTTTCAAGTAAAGCCTAGAAAGAGAAAAAGACAAGAAAAAAGAGAACCCACTGGATGATGACTTTTGAAAGGGACTTTTAGTAACTAATGTAGGATTTTTCTTTTCTTTCTTTTTTTTTTTTTTGAGGTGGAGTCTCACTCTGTCGCCCAGACTGCAGTGCAGTGGCTGCTCCCGGTCACCGTGGCCTCGACCTGCTGGGCTCCGGCGATCCTTCCGCCTCAGCCTTCCAAGTAGCTGGAACTACAGGCACGCGCTACCATGTCCGGCTAATTTTTTGATTTATTGTAGAGATGAGGTCTTGCCTGCCCAAGTGGGTCTTGAACCCGCGGGCTCAGGCAATCCACTCACCTCATCCTCCCAAAGGCGCAGGATTACAGGCTGAGCCACTGAGTCCGGCTGGATTTTTATTTTCTATGAGTCCAAGCACAACACTGTTGTGCAGTGAATGCTTATATATTCATAATTCTGATTTTTAATTTTATTTAAATTTTTAGATCTATAAACTAAACATAAATAATTTAATGATAGATAGAATATTATTAAACTGGGGGAGAGCAAATGAGAGATAACTAGGAAATAAGAAAGAATATTTGAAATTATAATGGTAACCCGTAGAAGAGGGGAAAAAACCTCAGAAGACTGCTGAAGGGAGCGATTTAAGGTCAGTAATAGTAGGGATGGGCAGTATTTATCCTTTTCCATTTCCTTTTATAACTACCTTCTATTTAATTTTTTTTGTTAAGAGATAGGGTCTTGTTTTGCTGTCCAGGCTGGAGTATAGTGGCATGATCATAGCTCACTGTAAGCTTGAACTCTTGGTCTCAGGTGATTTTCTCACCACAGCCTCCCAAAGAACCGGGATTATAGGTATGAGACTCTGTGTCTGACAAGATTTTTTTTTTTACATACCGCAAAATTTGAAAATGTGTAACATTATTAAAATCAAGTAAGTGGTATTTCTGGCATTAGACAACTCTAACAACTATTAACATTATTAACAGTCTATTTTGGCTTCAAACAACATTAAAACATTCAGTTGTAAGTCCTCTTTTTAATAATTTTGTTTTTTCTTACCAGGCTATTTTCCTTCCAGGCTTCTGGGAACTTGGGTCTCTGTTTTTCCCTAGACACAAGAACCTGCATATCCTCAAAAGTGGGATGGTTTCCAACTTCTGTCTGAAAAGCCATCTGGTATTCTGGCACAGATTCCCCTATGTATTTGTAGAAAAGAAGGATAGAATAAAATTTCCAGAATAATGGGGGTATTTCTGATACCGAGTAAGCAGATAAATATGTCATAATCCTTTAAAAAACAAAAACACCCTTCATGCACATTTGGAAATTCTAAACAGACACGGTTGTAGGTTTAATGCATTGTTAATAATACCTTACTTAGAACAGTCTCAAATATTTGTTGAAAAATCATACGGCAAGTTCAATGACAGACAGGTATTTTAAAATTATTTCTACTATTATTAAGTTCAGGTAAAAATTATTATGTTTATTAGGTATACTTAATACTTGAAAATATGCCTCAACTCTGATCTTTTGGAAGTTGGTGAGATGAGAAGAAAGTTCACAATATAGGCACAATAAAAATATCTGTAGAACTAGATATAAGAGGGTGGGGTTGAATAGTCACCACATCTCATTGTGTCACTGGCTCTATTATAGTCCAACCAGATTGTATCAAATGTTACAACAACTTTTATGATAATGACCACTTGACAAAAACATCAATTTTTAAAAATTTTCTTTTTTTTTTTTGGAGTTGGAGTCTCACTCTGTCGCCCAGACTGGAGTGCAGTGGCCGCTCCCAGCCACCGCAGCCTCGACCTGCTGGGCTCCAGTGATCCTTCTGTCTCAGCCTTCCAAGTAGCCGGAATTACAGGCATGTGCTACCACGCCTGGCTGAAAAATTTCCTTTTAACTAACAAGTAATATTAGATCATGGATTAAAAAGATCATAATGGTTCTACCATTGTTTAATAATCCTATTCATTGCTAATCAGCCCAATCAACTGCTTGTGAAAACAGTCTTCTGATTTTTACAATATGTGATGATAAAGTTAAATTTATAAGTAAACATACTGAACCACACAGAAGACCTCTGGAAATGGCACTAAGAAAATCAATGGTCTAGTGGAAACCCTGGCAAAGAACACAGAACTAGGGACTCTTCCTGTCTGTCTCCTTGCTCCTCCCCCCACTCTATTAAAATGACAGGATAAATTAGAAGGAAGAACACCAGGATGGAAGAAGATAAAAGCACTTAGGTTCTAATCTTGGCTTCATCTCTGCCTTGGAAAAGTCACTGAATTATTCTGTATTTTAGTCTTCCTGAAGTAAGCAAAATGGCAATGTCTGCCATCCTTATGTCACACACACGGAGACAATACAAAGTTATAATGACCAAGATGGAAAGTACATTACAAAATATGCCACTTAAGTTTGATATTTCTATTTGAATACTCAAGACAGTTCATAAATACTGTCCTCTATCAATATTAAAAAAGATTTACAAAGGTTAATTCTATTATCTGTACAGTCTAGTCCAAGTTTACTGGAATACTGCCCTATCTATAGATACAAATAATATTTTCACATACTGTAAATATCTAAGCAGATACTTAGTTTTGATCAATAACATCAACATTGAATTTGAGAGATAAATGAAATAATTTAATCATGCCAGTTAGTATATCGCTTTCTTCCTTGAAACCTTATATGATAAAATCACAACATGTACCATCTGTAAACTGTAAGATATTTATTAGTATATCTGATCTGTCTCTTTGAGACATATACACAACACATATACATACTTTCCAAGAGTTATTTATTAGTTTTTTCTTCAAATGCTGGTTAGTAGAATAATTAAAAATGCACAACTTAACTTAAAAAAATTAGATCCAAATTATAATTTTAAAAATTTGCTAAATGAAATCGATGCACAATCTTTTGTGAATGTAATGACATTAAGAATTACCAAATAAATTTCCACTACATCTTCACAGTTCTAAATCTACTTGTTCAACAGATACTTGCTTAGAGCTAAATTTAGCGTCAGGCACTGGAGACACAAAGATGAATGTTAATGACAAACGTCAACATGGAAGATATTAATATTACTGGATTCCCTTAAAATATTACTATCGCTAGATTGCTCAAGGGAAGTTTTATCATTTCATTTTCCTTCAAACTGTCGAAAACAGATCAAATATCTAATAGATACTGTTCCCTGCTTCTCACCCCATTTGTCACTTAGTAATTTTGTCTCTACCAGCTGGGGACTTTTAAGCTTCCTTCTCAAATTACACTAAATCTCTTTCTTCTTCTTTCTTTCTCTTGTTGCCTTTTTTTCTTCCTCCCCCCCACCCCTTATTTAAACTTTGCAGCAATTCACTCTTCCTTTGTAATATAGCTAATTCATTTATTTTACTAATATTTTACAGAGAAGGAGACTTTATTACATAGTGTTTCCATGTAATAATACAAAGCATTCACTGCATTTTGAGGCATATCCTAAAAAGTTTAGAAAACGTTTTATAAGACTCTTTAATTATTATATGATACTCTGTAGGTTTATTAATATATTTGTGATCCTTTTTTCTTTTTAACTTCCACCCCATTTAATTGTTAAAATTTTCAAGAGTGCCCTGTATCCCCTGCCTGTGCTTTTTAATACTTTTCTCTTCTATACACGCTATGATTTCTGTCTTCTGTATTCCACAAAAACTCCTCTAAGAATACTAATGACCTCCTATTCAAATTCAAAAATCATTTCTCAGTTCTGTTTCCTCTTGACCTTTCAATTACATCTATTGCCATCAATAAGAGCCCTTAAAGCTTTCTAACACTGACTACCAAGACATTATGATATTTTACTATTTTTCTGGTCATTTGTCTTCTTAATTAACCTACTTGGTGGGTATAGTGCCCCAATAGTCAGTCTTTAATTATCAGTTTCTCTCTCTCTCTTAATTTGTTCTCTTAAGGGAGTGAAAGGGTAATGGCAAAATGCAATTATTGAATGGGATAATCTTAAGCTAAAAGCAGTCATTTTAACACTGCCTAGTCCTGTCATATTCTCTTAACATTACTTAACTTGCCCTTCTTTTTTTCTATTCTTTTTGAGTTGGAGTCTCACTCTGTTGCCCAGACTGGAGTGCAGTGGCCACTCCCGGCCACCGCAGCCTTGACCTGCTGGGCTCCGGCGATCCTTCCGCCTCAGCCTTCCAAGTAGCCAGAATTATAGGCAAGCGCTACCACGCTCGGCTGATTTTTTTTGTTTGTTTTTTATTGTAGAGATGAGGTCTCGCCTGCCCAGGCGGGTCTCGAACCCGTGGGCTCAGGCAATCCACTCACCTCAGCCTCCCAAAGGCACGAGATTACAGGCTGAGCCACTGAGCCTGGCTTAATGTGCCCTTCTAATCACTAGCCAAGGACAGAACCCTCAGAGGTAGCTATTGATAATTGTTTTAAAACCCGCCTCAGCTTGTTTTATACTAATTAACTTTTCTATTCCAAGTATTTGCATAAGAAAGTTAATCTAATCACTACTTTGTGTCTCTCTCTTATTTGCTTTCTAAATAAACTATTTTTTCCAATCTAACTTCTTAATAGGGAGTGCATCCACTCACAAGTTTTCAATTACTATCTCGATATAGACAAATAACAATTTTACTCTTAAATTTCAATTTTCTCTGTATTTCCTTTATTCTTTAAAGTTTCCAAAGAAAACATCTTTTTTTTTTTTTAAGTCGGGGTCTCACTCTGTCAGCCAGGCTGGAGTACACTGGCACAGACTGCAGCCTCGACCTGCTGGGCTCAGGTGATCCTTCCACTTCAGCCTTCCAAGTAGCGGGAAATATAGGCACGCGCCACTGTGCCCAGCTAATTTTTTGATTTATTGTAGAGACGAGATCTTGCCAAGTTGCCCAGGCTGGTCTTGAGCCCCTGTAAAATTTCTTTGGTTGTCTATTTATAGAAAAGTCTTCATAATTAACTCATCTTTCCACTGTATGCCAATATTTCTTTCTCAGCTCCTCACTGCCTCCCTATTTCTTAGACTTCTGAATATTTCTCAAATCCTTCAACTTCCATTGTTTTTATTTTATTTTTTGTAGAGATGGGGTCTCACTATGTTGACCAGGCTGATATTGAATTCCTAGGGCATCAAGTGATCTTCCCGCTTCGGCATCTCAAAGTGCTGGGATACAAATGGGAACCACTGCACCTGGCCTCAACTCTTATTCTTTTAATAGCTAATCACAACCACGGATTCCTTCTCCACATTTTCTCTCAGATCTGCCTCTCCTCTCCCATTTCTATATGCAAGATTATAGGGTACACTAATGCAATTATCTTAATTTTTTTTTAATTGTGATAAAATATACAAAACATAAAATTTACCATTTTAGCCACTTTTAAGTATACAGTTCTATGGTTTTAAGTACATTCACACTGTTGTGTAACCATTCAGCTCTAGAACTAGAACTTGGTGCCTATTAAACATAACTCCCCATTTCTTTTTCCTTTTTATTTTTTATTTTATTTATTTTTATTTTTTTGAGTTGGAGTTTCACTTTGTTGCCCAGACTGGAGTGCAGTGGCTGCTCCCGGTCACCACAGCCTCAATTTGCTGGGCTCCGGAGATCCTTCCGCCTCAGCCCTCCAAGTAGCTAGAACTACAGGCGTGCGCTGCCACGCCCGGCTAATTTTTGACTTATTGTAGAGATGAGGTCTCACCAAGTTACCCAGGCAGGTCTCGAACCTGCGGGCTCAGGCAATCCACTCATCTCAGCCTCCCAAAGCGCGGGATTACAGGCTGAGCCTCCGAGCCCGGCTTCTTTTTCCTTTTTAAATCCCTTCTAGTTCTTCCTATTTCTATTTTAATTCACCCTACATATCTGCTAAAACACTCTGCAAACAAGATTTAGTTGCCTCTCTCTATTCAAACATTTGATATCACTCTTTGTTAGTAAGATTAAAAGCAAAATCATTCTTAGAACACAGTAGTTTTTCAAGAAATGTTGCTGGTAGCAGTATACCAATGCTGAAGAAAGAGAATCATTTCAGTGAGACATGCTTCTAAAACAAAAATCCTGGAGGAGAATATTTCTTTTAAAAAAACCAAACCTGTGGCCAAAGTTCAAATAATAGAATACTTGTGATACTACCGCAATTACTGATATTTCCAGAGAAATGCCTCTGTACTTCTAATTCTAAATCATAATTCCTGGACCTGTAGTTACTCTAAATAATCATTAATTTATTTCATTAATATCTTTAAAGCTAAAAATTCAACCCTACAATATTAATCTGTTTTTATTAAATAGCTTCACTTCATAAATTTGCTAAATGCTGGTTCCTTTTTCTATGTTATTCCTATAAGACAGAGCCCTCATGTATCAAATTTCTCTATGCAGCATCTAGAAGAATGCGATGCATAGATGTGTAGTTAAAAGTTTCTTTTTTTGAGTTGGAGTCTCACTCTGTCGCCCAGATTGGAGTGCAGTGGCCGCTCCCGGTCACCACAGCCTCGACCTGCTGGGCTCCGGCGATCCTTCCGCCTCAGTCTTCCAGGTAGCTGGAACTACAGGTGCGCGCTACCACGCCCGGTTAATTTTTGATTTATTGTGGAGATGAGGTCTCGCCAAGTTGCCCAGGTGGGTCTTGAACCCATGGGCTCAGGCAATCCACTCAGGTTGAGCCACTGAGCCTGGCTGAGTATACTTTCATTGAAAGGAATGAAAGAGGAAGGGAGGAAGAAGAGGAAGGGAGGGAGTTAAGGAGAGAGGAAAGAGTAAGGTAGAAAGAGAGGGAGGGAGAGAGGGAAGAAGAGAAGGAAAGAAGGAAGGAAAGGAAGGAAAGGAAGGAAGGAAGGGAAGGAAGGAGGGAGGAAGGAAAAACTAAGGGAGAATGAAAAAAAGAAAAGAAGAAGTGTCCACAAATAATTCATTGCTTCTAATTTCTAATAGGGCCCAACTTAGTAAGCATCGTAAGTGTAGCTTGTCTCAAATGCTCAGAGAGTGCACGCAAAAAATGATGACTGCTAAAGCAATCAGGGACCAAACTAAATACAGTGACATAAAGTATTACTGGCAATTAATTAAATTGCACTCAGATGAAAATTTGTACTTAAAAAAAACAAACATAAAACTTCCCGATTCACATCCTTCTGATAATGTTTCCGCACACTAGATGGCAATGAACTAAAGCTTTAGATGAAAGTAAAAAGAGTCTTACATAAAAGTTAAGTTATTTAATATGGATAGAAAAAGATGATTATTAACCACTTCATTTTGAAACATATCAACTTTTACAGCAGTGCTTACCTGGGAAGAGATCTGTACATCTCATAAATATCTCCCAATAGATTAGCCCAAGTGCATACATGTCTACTTGTTTCAAAGCTGATTCACAGTCCCTCAGGTTCACTGCTCCTTCAAGCACTTCTGGTGCCATATACCTGATTGTGCCAACCTGATAAATTAGAGTGATATTTTTCAGAGAGAGAATGTAGCAAATTCTGAAGGGCAGGCATTAGAGCAGGAGTTATATGTAAATTTTTGTCATGACCTAATGATATGTTATTTGACTGTAAGCATGTCACTAAACCTTTCTATTCATATATCTTATTTACCTATAAAATGTCCTTTCTGAATAATTAAACTGTGGTAAATCCATTTTAGTGAATACAATTCATCAAACAGAATGAGCTAGACCTTCCTAGATATATTAACATAAAAAAATCTGTAAGAAAATTATAAAATAATAATACATACACCATTTAATAGTTTTAGAAATTCACAAAACTACATATGCGTATGTGTAGAGATATATATGTGAATGCAAAGGAAAAAGTTGGGAAGGATATATTCTACATTGTAATGATGATTATCAGAAGGTAGACTGTCCTATCTCAAACTTGGTAACTTTACTCTTGCCTCAAAAACTAGTTTCTACAAATTTCTTCCTAATGCTTATCAAAATAACTTAGAATGACAGTCATTTCCAAAATGAAATGATGAACTTTGCAAAGGCCTTTATGCAATGTCATTTGTATTTTCTATTTTTGTAATTCCTAATATTTTATAATTGGTCATAATGAGAATAACTGTCCTGAGCAGTGGATTTTTTTTTTTTTTTTTTGAGTTGGAGTCTCACTCTTTCGCCCAGACTGGAGTGCAGTGGTCACTCCTGGCCACCGCAGCCTCGACCTGCTGGGCTCTGGCGATCCTTCCGCCTCAGCCTTCCAAGTAGCCGGAATTACAGGCATGCGCTACCATGCCCCACTGATTTTTTGATTTATTGTAGAGATGAGGTCTCGCTGCCCAGGCGGGTCTCGAACCCACGGGCTCAGGCAATCCACTCACCTCAGCCTCCCAGGATTTTTTAACACAATTCATTATAATTTCAAAGTATGTCAGTGTAATATCTTTTGCATATGCTCACCTCACTTATGGCTGCATTATCTTCTTCCCCTGGGCGCACCAGTCTATTTCCAGTCAGCCTCATGGACAATCCAAAGTCACTAATAACACAGGTTCCATCATTTTTCACCAAGACATTTCTGCTATTTAAATCTCGGTGGGAAATTGCAGGTTTATAATGATCTGTTTGGATAATTTTAAATATCTATTAATGCTTAAATAGTACTATTAGACATGAAAATAACATGCAGATAATGAGAACTACATAAATATAGAATATAGTATTATTTCTCTGCCCATTAATTTTCTGTTTTCTAAAGCAGGATTTATTGAGAGAACAGAAAAGCTCCCACAGTGGGAGGGGACCCCAGGGGGTCGTCCCATTAATTTTCTACTAGCAAAAAAGAACACAAGAAATCATAATTTCAACTCACACTCATCACTATTTTCTGATATATAACATAACTCTCATTGCACTGTTAATTAAGCATTAAACTTTAAGCTGAAATTAACAGCCTACATGCTGCTGCTTCTAATTCTAACACATTTTTTTCCCTCTTTATTTCTAATTCTAACACATTCATTTCTAATTCTAACACACATTTTTTTTCCTTTTCATTTCTAGGGCAGCAAAAGGAGGCAATACAGAAAGGAGGATTTAGTATAAATACCAAAAAACAAGTCAGCTTGTCTAAAATATCAATGAAAAACTAATTTGGCTCCAAATCTTATTGTAGATGTTATGCTGTTCTCCTATGGCTTAACAGATCAAACCTGTGACAACATATCCCAGTTATGCCCCAAGGTTTAGCCATGTCTCTAGACCCACCTCAGCTTTTCAGATCTATCTAGAAATAGTTTTACAATGGCTTAGAAGAATAGGTGAAGGAGTTGATATTTCCCATCAAGATATGAAAACCTATTTTCTGATTTTATGGAAGCAAAGTAGTGTCACACTCATTCTACTACTTGTCTATTCTTACTACTAGACCATAGGCTCCATGAAGGCAGAAAGAAAGCATGTTTTATCTGAATTTTAAAAGCTTGGCACACAAAGAGACACACAGTAAATGCCTGCTGACTGAAAGAATGAACCTAAGCCCTTCACCAAAAACATTACCTTATTTTTTCCTCTCTTTAAAGAAATTTTATATAGACATTATATTAAATAAAATCATAGCTCTGGAAATAAAATTCTATACCACAAATTTTGAAATTGAAAGTATTTCCCTAGATATACAAAAAATAGAGCAATCAGAACAAAGGCAATAAGGTTATAGAGTATTAACTTAGGCATAAAAAGACTCAATATTTAAACATATTTCTTTCATAAATGAGCATTCAAATGAAATTTCACCATCAACGAAACTATAGACAGGATAATTATTTATTTAACAAAAAGAAGTTGAGCATAAGTGGGTAAGGAAGAAAATGACAAATAAATCAACTCAGATGAAGAAACTCGGTAACTCCTGTTTACCAAGTTTCTTCATCTAAGAGTTGATTTATTTATCATTTTCTTCCTTACCCACTTTTGTTCTGGTCTTCCAAAGCCTGTATTCACTTGGCTCTACTCAATTGCTATAAAAGCCACATTTTTTACTCCAGATAAAACCAATAAAAGTACAGCCTAAGTATATGTGGTATAATCTTGAGCTGATACCTATATGGGAACATTTCTGGCATATACAGGCATTGAAATATGCCTGTATACTAATACCAAATCAATATTTAAACTAAAAGAAGCTTTAGAGAAAACCAGGCTACTGATGGGGGGAATGTGCAATGAGTCAGTGAGGCAGTCAGAAGGAATACTTCCAGATATTATGAAAAAAGAAAAAAGAAAAAAAAACAGAAAAGAAGAAAGGGAGAGTGAGAAAGGAAGGGAAGAAGAAAGTGGAGAAGGGAGAAGAGAAGAAGAAACAAGACAGGATTCCTCATCAATGCAAAGGTTAGAACTACAGATATCCTCAGTACTTATTTTAATCTTTTTTACTTGGGTATGGAGGGAGGAAAATACAACGATTTAGCCCTGGGCAGAGCACTGTATGAGGTGAACATCTCAAAGGAAAGTACAAGATATTATTTAAATTATGTTTTTAAAATACCGAGCTTTTTTTTTTTTAATAGTCTCTCTGTGGATATCTGTACAAAATCCCACCCTCCAAAGGACCTGAAAGGATATACACAAACTACTTAACAGTGATGAAGTTTGAGTTGTCTATATAGTTTTTTTGTTAAATTTTTCTTTGGTAATAAGCATACGTTACCATTATCATAAGGAAATTAACTCATAGGGTGAACTAATTACAACAGGTTCAATTCTTACTCTGAAGCAATAAACAATGGAATAAGTAATAGTAATACCATTCCTTACTATCAAATTTCTGCTCTAAACAACAAAGTTACATAAGATACTAGAAAGAATAGGATTCTCTGAAAGCACTTTTTTTTTTTTTTTTTTTGAGTCAGGGCCTTACTCTGGTTACCCAGGCTGGAATGTAGTTGGCAAAATCACAGTTCACTGCAGCCTCGACCCCTGGTCTCAAGCAATCCTCCCACCTTAGCTTCCTGAGTAGCTGGGACTACAGGCATGTGCCACCACACCCGGCTAATTTTTCAAATTTTTTTTTGTGGAGGCAAGGTCTTGCTATGTTGCCTAGTCTGGTCTCACAAACTCCTGGGATCAAAAAAATCCTCTCGCTTTGGTCTCCCAAAGTACAGTGACTGCAAGAAGAAGCCACTGCAGTTGGCCTGAAAGGATATTTTAAATGTTTTAAAATAATATAGTACAGGCATACAAATAAATGGTCATTGACTTAAGACAGCCTGACTTACGATTTTTCAACTTCCCAATGGTGAGAAAGCAGTACACATTCAGTAGAAACCAAACTTCATGTATTCATATAACCATTCTTTTTTTTGCTTTTAGTACAGTATTTGGTAAATTACATGAAATATATAGCACTTTATTATAAAATAATCTTTGTGTTCGAGATGATTTTGCCCAACTGTAGGCTGCTGTAAGTGTTCTGAGTATGTTTAAAATAGTTTAGGCTAAACTATGATATTCAGTAGGTTGGTTATATTAGATGCATTTTCTTTTTTTTTTTAGAGTTGGAGTCTCACTCTGTCATCCAGACTGGAGTGTAGTGGCTGCTCCCGGACACCGTAGCCTTGACCTGCTGGGCTCCGGCGATCCTTCCACCTCAGCCTGCCAAGTAGCTGGAATTATAGGCATGCGCTACCATGCCTGGTTGATTTTTTTTTGAATTATTTTAGAGATGAGGTCTCGCTGCCCAGGTGGGCCTCGATTCCACGGGCTCAGGCAATCCACTCACCTCAGCCTCCCAAAGGCGCGGGATTACAGGCTGAGCCACAGAGTCCGGCTAGATGCATTTTCTTTTCTTTTTCTTTTTTTGAGTTGGAGTCTCACTCTGTCACCCAGACTGGAGTGCAGTGACATGCTCCTGGCTACCGCAGCCTCAATCTGCTGGGCTCCGGAGATCCTTCCACCTCAGTTTTCCAAGTTGCTGGAACTACAGGCGTGCACTACCACGCCCAGCTAATTTTTGATTTATTGTAGAGATGAGGTCTCGCCAAGTTGCCTGGGTGGGTCTCGAACCCATGGGCTAAGGCAATCTGCTTGCCTCGGCCTCCTACAGTGCTGGGATTACAGGCTGAGCCACCAAGTCCAGACTAATTTGTTTTATTTATTGTAGAGATGCGGTCTGGTCAAGTTGCCCAGGCTAGTCTCGAACCCCTGAGCTCAGGCAATCCTCTCACCTTGGCCTCCCAAAGTGTTGCGATTATAGGCTTGAGCCACAGCGCCCAGCCCAAATGCATTTTCAATGTATAACCCCTTGTAAAAGTTGAGGAACGTCTGTACTGGGGAAAATTTTTAAATAATTAAGTAAAACTATAAATTCAAATAACTACTATACTTAAATGCAATAACATCTACATACTCAGTTTTTAAAAACGTAACTATCTAGTGGTAACATTAGCAAATGTTTAAGAATAATAACTCAATTTAAATAAAACTTTTATTTGACGGCATTCTATATGGCCAATATTTTTGACTTGAAACCTTGCTGAATCACGCAAACCTTGAAAAGAGAAATTAGGATGATATTTTAAGTTCTATGCCAAGCCATTTTTTTAAAAAGGAGATACGATATTTAAAAGTTAAGTGGATACAGTCCAATGGTTAATGTGCTAAAGTGGTAAAGCAAGTGCATCAAGTTGCTGACAAAGTCAGGAAAAGGAATATGTCAAGAAAATGAACTGATAAATTATTCAGAAGAAATTATTTTTATATAAAGCATCAGCTAGGAAAGATAGTCCATGCAAATATACAATGGAACAAAGATCTAAGAAAATGGATATAATGAAATTATCTTCACCAAAGAAGTCAGAGAGACTGAAAATATAATGACAGGGCTACGGTATACTGAAAAAAACACAGCAAGGAATGAAAGCTTAAGAAACCAAGAAGACAGAATTATCACAGCAAAACAAATTTAGGGGTGCCTGTGAGGTGAGGTGTATACTGAAACAAGGTGAGAAAGCAAATGTGCTAAAGAATGTTTTGGATAACTAGCAAAATTGTGCATGAAAGCTGAGGAAGACTGCAGTTATGATAAGGAATATGACTACACAGTTCTGAAACATTGGCCAAGACTGAGTTTCTACCATGCACGCACCTACTTAGTCACAGAAGCTAATTGTATTTGAGGCAGCAATGCACACAGAAAAAGTTTTGACAAAATTATATTCCTAGCTCTTTTGCAGCCAAGTGTGGAATAAATTCTGGGAAACAAAACAAGCACAGGAGTAAGACTTCTAGAAGTAGAAAGGGCAATTCCTTTTACTTCCCCTTTTTTTTTCCTGCTCACTAGAATCCAGCATGATGAACAATGAGGTGACTTCAAAAATGAAAAGACATATACAAGGGATGGTGGGGAAGAAATACAGGAGCCACAGTTCCTGATAATACCATGGTACTGACAAACTAATCCTAGACTGTCCTTCTCTAGATTTTTTTTTTTTTAGTTGGAGTCTCACTCCGTCGCCCAGAAAAGAGTGCCATGGCACTCTCCCGGCCACCGCAGCCTCGACCTGCTGGACTCCAGCCGGCGATCCTTCCACCTCAGCCTTCCAAGTAGCTGGAACTACAGGCATGCGCTACCACGCCTGGCTAATTTTTGATTTATTGTAGAGATGAGGTCTCGCCAAGTTGCCTGGGCGGGTCTTAAATCCCCGGGCTCAGGCAATCCACTCACCTCAGGCTCCCAAAGCGCTGGCATTACAGGCTGAGCCACGGAGCCCGGCCTCCTCTCTAGATTCTTACATGAGGAAAAAAAAAAAAAAACTTATTGAAGCCACTGCTGTTTCTCTCCCCTGATAGATATGGCCAAACCTAATTCTAGCTAACAGAGACACAGATTTATAAAAAGATACATTTGTTTTTATACTAAACACCAACTCATGGAATAAAAATCTATGAGACATTAAAATTAAAAAAGTAATAATGCATTGTAGTTCATTTAAATAAACAAAATATATAAAAGGAAAATATAATGTAGCCCAGCCGAGAGGTTCTTAACCTAATGTCCATAAATGGACTTCAAAAGGTCTGAGAACCCCTTGTAATCAAATGAATACTTTCAGGCTGGTGTGGTGGCTCATGCCTATAATCCCAGCATTTTGGAAGGTCGAGGTGAGGGGATTTCCTGAGCCCAAGAGTTCAAGACCAGCCTGGGCAACATGGTGAGACTTTGTCTCTACAATAAATAAAAAACTTCGTAAAGTGTGCTGATGCGTACCTATAGTTCCAGCTACTTAAAAGGCTGAGACAGAAAACTGCCTGAGCCCAGCAGGCAGAGGATGCGGTAGCCATGATCGTGACACTGTACTCCAGGTTTGGGCAACAGAGAAAGACTTTGAGTAAAAAACCCCAAAAAAACCCAAAAAATCAATTTTCTAAGTATACCCATATGTGTATCTTTGGAGAGAGAATGTTCAGAGTGTGAACATAAATTATTATTATTATTTTTTGAGTCAGGGTCTCACTCTGTCATCCAGGCTGTGCAGTGGCATAATCATGGCTCATCATAGTCTCAAACTCCTGAGCTCAAGTGATCTTCCAGTCTTAGCCTCCTGAGTAGCTGAAACCACAGCCACACACCATCATTCCCTGCTAAGATTTTGATTTTTTATAGAGACAAGGTCTCACTATGTTACCCAGGCTGGTCTTGAACTCTTGGGCACTAGTGGTTCTCCCACCTTGACCTCCAAAATGCTGTGTTACAGGCGTGAGCCACATGTCCATCCCTGAACATAAATTCTTAATGAACAAGAATCAAATTGTTTTTTTTTTTTTGAGTTGGAGTCTCACTCTGTCACCCAGACTGGAGTGCAGTGGTGTATTCCCGGCCACTGCAGCCTTGATCTGCTGGGTTCCGATGATCCTTCCACCTCAGCCTTCCAAGTAGCTGGAACTATAGGCGCGAGCTACCACGCCCGGCTAATTTTTTGATTTATTGTAGAGATGAGGTCTCACCAAGTTGCCCAGGCGGGTCTCGAACCCACGGGCTCAGGCAATCCACTCACTTCAGCCTCCCAAGGCGCAGGATTACAGGCTGAGCCACAGAGTCCGGCTAAGAATCAAATTCTTAATAGGATCCATAACTCCTTTAGAGTCTTGAAGTTCCTTTTCTTATTCTTTCTGTTATTATTATTTTTTTTCTCTTAAAGGTAACGTATTTCTTTCTGGTCACAACTTACAGGGAAGATGCAAGGGTAATGCCTGTTATCCCACGGATGTATACCTTCCCAGCCTATGCAGCTATAAATACTGTTGTATACCAGGCTCACACAGTCCCCACAAGCATTTTCTCACATTTTCATAGCAACAGAATATAACATATGACAAGGTAGGAAGTTTAAACAGACGCCCCATTCATAAGGTAGGTCTCCCTTCAATTAGTGTTCTAGTTCTTTTGCTAATATTGAAACAGAAGTAGCTGGTTGTTCTTGCTATCAGTTTTCTAAAATTCTCTCATGAACAAGTAGGTCATAAACAAATTATGTCTGCACAAGTCAGAGTTGTTTAAAGTGACCTGACAGAAAAGCAGTGATTAAAGCCCTTTCTGCATCCCCCTTTCCAAGTACCAGCCTGCTAGCGGTACCTGGACTGCTGTCTCTGGGTCCCCAATATCCCAAGGCAGTGACAGAGAAAGGGCAGGCCAGACTAAGCATATGAAGGAAAAAAAACCAACAACCTAAAAAACGTTCTTTATTGGGCTCAGAACAGGAGTCTGAGGGTCTTGATGACCTCTGTGTGTTTGTCAATTTTCTTCTCTGTGTTCTTTTCGGTATGTTTCTGTAGCCTCTGAGCATTTTTAAACGCTAGAGGATCTCCTTCCTCTCCTCCTCCAGGATGGATGTCACTGCCTACTACATCCAGCCAAACTTATGAGCCAGGTACCCTAGGTGGACAAACCTTCTTGTAAGCTTCAGATGTACAACCTTGAAGGCAGCAAGAACCATCATCCACTTTTTCTTGTCATAGTGTAGCAGGAACCCATCAAACACCTTGAGGTGGTCCAGGGCAGCATGCCTCCCTCGTCTGTCAAAAGACGTGGCTAGGGGTCTGGAAACAGTAGGGGCCTCGGGAAGGGTTATGGAGGAAAGCCATGTACTTCTAACCCGTTTCTGTAAAAACTGCCAGAAATATTGATGCCCTTGCAGCACAGGAACACCACCTTCTGGTCTAGCAGTACTTGCGGGGCCATGGAGGGCTGCCAGGCAGCCCAGGAGACCTCAGCCACTAAGCAGCAGAACCTGCCCCTCTGCCATCTTTGGCAGTTGCCTGGGAAAGCTATTCCTGTTATATTTCAAATGCATTTCATGCTGGATCTTTCAAACAACTGGTTAATAATAAATCTCTAATGATAAAAATTATCTTTTACTTTGAAGATATGATTAAAATTTCCCTTTGTGAATTTAAACCCACATGAGTGTTAATTTCCTCTTCTATTTACTCTCTTACCTCCTCGTGGTAATTCTGTGTGAAGATAAGCCAGTCCCCTAGTCACAGAATGAGCCAGACGGCATGAGCTTACCCAGTCACTTGTATGGAGACTCAAATACTTGCATAGAGATCCCTATATGGAGAAAAAAATGCACAAAAAAGGTGGAATTAATTTACTTTAACACGAAGAGGTGAGTTAGCAATCTTATAAATAATTTGCATAGACTGGGATTCCATGATGACCTGATGAGCTACTACATTTTAGAATCTTGAAGGAATTAGTAAAACATTTGTGTATGCAGAGAGGAGAAAATAGAAAGGAAAGAGAATTTAAACATTATTAATTTTTATGTTTCCAACATTAAAAATTATGAGTGGTTATTTCCTTTTAAACAGTTCTTTGGTCTATCAAATAAAGATAGGAAAATATCTTTTACCAGTACAAATACAAATCATATTGTTATGTTTTATAAGTATAAAACAAAAGTCTTTTGGAAATATATATGTACTGATGCTACTCAAAGTGCTGATGAAATAAGGAGCTTGCACCAGAATGAATGTCAACCAAGTATTGCTTCCTTCATTGAGAAAGTCTTGCTATGAAAAAGAGAAAGAGAAGAGAGCTAACAAACGTGTAATTAATGATATAATTGATTCACAGTCTGGCATGAAATTCTTATTTCACTGCAGACTATTAATAGCCAGTTTGTGAATCAACAATGCTCTCTCTTTAATACAGAGTTCCTTCTGAAGTCTGACTGACAGCTAATATAAATCTCAGTTTATTTTTCTGTGGAGAACTTACATTGGGATAGTACTCCATCACCAGCAAATATTCCATGCGTCCATCGGCAGTGACTCTCTCATCTCCAACTATAAAGTGAGCAATATTGTCATGTTCCATCAAAGGCACTCTGTAAATGTTCTTCTCGTTGATAAAATTCTGACGGTTTGCAAAGGAAAACACTTTTACAGCAACTGGACGCTCATCCAAGGAGCCTTTATATACTGCTCCATATCGACCCCGGCCAATCAGCTGTAAGTATTTTAAAGAAAGCAAGGTATTAATTCATATAACAATGGAACAATCAACCTTACTACATAATAAAGTATGAACCTTTATGGTATGCCACAGCTCTCTACTGCTTACAGTTTACTATCAAGAAATGAAGCTAGGCATGGTGGCTCACACCTGTAATGCCAGCTCTTTGGGAGGTGGAGGTGAGAGAACTGCCTGAGCCCATGGGTTCAAGACCAGCCTGGGCAACACGGCGAGACCTCATCTCTATAATAAATCAAAAAATTAGCTGGGTTTGATGGCATGGTCCAGCTACTTGAAAGCCTGAGTTGGAGGGATCACCTGACCCAGCTGAGCCAAACAGGTCAAGGCTGTAGTGACAATGATTGTGCCACTGCACTCCACTCCAGCCTGGGTGACAGAACTCTAGACAAAAAAAAAAAAAAAAAAAAAGAACTGGAGTTTCACTCTGGTGTCCAGGCTGGAGTACAGTGGCACACTCACGGCCACCGCAGCCTAGACTTGCTGGGCTCAGGAGATCCTTCCGCCTCAGCCTTCCAAGTAGCTGGAAATACAGGCATGTGCTACCATGTCTGGCTAATTTTTTGATTTATTATAGAGACAAGGTCTCTTCAAGTTGCCCAGACTGGTATCAAACCCCTGCGCTCAGGCAATCCTCTCGCCTCGGCCTCCTCAAAGTGCTGGGATTACAGGCTAGAGCCTCTGCACCCGGCACCCCCACCAGAAAAATTCTAAAGGCACTGACAAATAAACAAAAGTGGACAGATCCTGAGAGGCATCAGTGCTTAGAGAAAATATTGGCATTGGGCTAGCGACTCATTTTTATGGCTTTTGGCCTGAGGGCAGGCTGAAATTGGCACTGCAGTGGAGCTCAAATTGCAAAGAAAATCCATTATTTTTCTGGCCCTGGGAACCTGAGGCCATAATCTGGGACAAGCACAGCTGCTGGAAAGGGAGGGGAGAATCCTGGAAAGGAGAAAGTCAGAGTGGGAAATTCAGTGAATGTAGAGAAAGATGCCAGCTAAAGAGAGAATAACTGAACTGAGATTTGATATTCTGCCCAAAAGTTTGCAGTTATGTGTCCAACAAAGTTAATTGCTTATTAAAACAAGCAACAAAAATCAGCACACTTTAGAACATAACAAAATCCAGAGGCTCTACATATAACATCCACAATATCTGGAATACAATAAAAATTACTCTACACACACAGAGTCAGCAAAATATAACCCATTGTCATCATTTTTGGCTCCTGGGGATTTTCCCCACTTTTTATTGAAAGAGGTTACGGATTTACCATCATTAACTTAAGGATATGTGTTATATTCCAGTCATTATTTCCAGGTTAAAAATTAATTTACAGATAAAGTATCCTTTAAAAAGACTATCAATATACGGTTAATTCAGAAATGTTTGGGAGTGTTTCACTCAATCTAAGATAAAATTCCATATTTTAATTAGTACTGGACATTTTACTATCCATTTATTAGCCACACTTACTTCTTTTGTGAACTGGCAGCTCATCTCTTCTGTCCATTATCTATAGGTTATCTCTTTCATACTGATTTACACCAGCTCTTTATTAAGTTTTTCCTTATGTGTTGAAATTCTATTTTTCAAATTTGCTTTTAACTTTGTTTATGGTATTTTCTCCCAAAACAGAAAGTTTAAAAATGTCTCATACTTCCAAATCTATCATATTTGCTATTTAATAGTCTCTGATTTAGGAATTATAGTTATGAAGTCATTTCTTTTTTTTTTTTTTTTGAGTTGGAGTCTCACTCTGTCACCCAGACTGGAGTGTAGTGGCCGCTTCCGGCCACCGCAGCCTCGACCTGCTGGGCTCCGGCGATCCTTCCACCTCAGCCTTCCAAGTAGCCGGAATTATAGGCATGGCTACCACACCCGGCTGATTTTTTGATTTGTTGTAGAGATGAGGTCTTGCTGCCCAGGCGGGTCTCGAACCCGCGGGCTCGGGCAATCCACTCACCTCAGCCTCCCAAGGCGCGGGATTACAGGCTGAGCCACCGAGCCCGGCTATGAAGTCATTTCTAATAGAGATTATAAAAAGACTCATTATGATAAATTTTTTTTTTTTTTGAGTCTCAATCTGTTGCCCAGTCTGGTTGTGGCACTATTACAGTTTACTGCAGCCTCGTCCTCCTGGGCTCAAGCAATTCTCTCATCTCAGTCTCCTGAGTTGCAGGGACTATAGGTGCATGCCACTACACCTGTATAAATTTCAAAAATTTTTTGTGGAGATGAAGTTTTGCTATGTTACCTAGGCTGGTCTCAAACTCCTAGGCTCAGACAACCCTCCCGTCTCCCAAAGTGCTGGGATTACAAGTGTGAGCCACTGTGCCCACATAAGACTTTGAACTAGCTTCTAAGATATTACCAAATGAAACTTAAGTTCTATGGAGTATATAATAGGCTTATATATCTATAAAAATATGTAATGTCAAATACAAGGAATATTTAGTTGGCATCTACTATGAATTCCTTGCTGGTACACTTTTCTCAGAATTTCACATCTTTAATCCCATACTTTGTTCAAATCTGTACTTCGAGGTCATCCCCTTTCTAAATATACTTTCTTTAATAACCTTCTTTTCGTCATGTTCTTATCTTGTTATTCACTTTACTTTTCCTCATAGCACTTACTACTACTTGAAATTATATTATATGTTCGTTTACCGGTTTGTAGACACCCCAACTACAATATAATTCCCAAGGGAGGTATCTGTATTGTTGTTCACCTATATCCCCTGTGCCTAGAACAGGCCTTGGCACAAAATTGATAATAAATATGGGTTAAGTAAATAAATGAATGATTTAGTTCATTAATGAAATTACTGTCCCAGATATATGATGAGAGTAGAAAGTACAGTTCATAATCTAAGAGCACCCTTACCTCCAACAGTTTCAGATTATCTAGATCGAGAGAAGGTTCTGATGCTGCTGCCTCCATCATGTTCATACTGTGAAGACCTTGTTTATGGTCTCCTAAAGGAAGAGGAAAAAGAAGTTACTAATGTATGGTTTTCTTAAAATAGAGGTCTTTATCATACTCTTCATTAAGTTACAGTTAAAAAGAAGAGCTGCACAAGGGTAGACAGCAAGATTTATGCCTATGAATCAATGGGAGTAAAACAATTTACTAAACTAAGAAACATGAATAAGTGAAGATAAATAGCATACAAGCTGAATTCTGGGAGATCCTTCTACAACTTAGTTGAAAAGTTTAAAAACTCAAAAAATAGTAAAAACTTTAAAGAAGATTTTTATTAACGCTATTCAAATGAATGAATGGGTACTGATTTCCTAAATGACCCATCATAGAACCAACTGGACATTTGATGATACTGAGGAATTACTATTATTTTTTTTAGATGTGAAAACAGTATTATGAAGATGTATTTTTAAAATCCTGGGCCAGGTGCGGTAGCTCACACCTGTAATCCCAGCACTTTGGGAGATGGAGGCGAGAGGGTTGTCGGAGCCCACGGGTTTGTGACCAACCTGGGCAAGATGGCAAGACCACGCATCTCTACAATAAATCAAAAAATTAGTTTGGTGTGGTGGCGCATGCCTGTAGTTCCAGTTACTTGGAAGTCTAAGGTGAACAGATCACCGGAGCCCAGTCAGTCGACGTGAGTGTGCCACTGCCCTCCAGCCTGGGCGATAGAGTGAGACTCTGACTCACACAAACAAACAAATAAGTAAATGAAGCCCTTATATTTTAGAAGTAATACTAAAATATTTATAGATATATGATACCTGTAATTTGCTTCAAAATAATCCAGTAGCATGGAAAGGGGTAGTGACTGCTGATTTAGATAAAATACTACTACCCATATGTGTTAACTGTGGAAGCTGGATGGTAGGTATTTTGTGTAAGTTGGAAACTTTTAATAAAAAATGGGGGGAAAAGTGTGCTAGAAGGATTGAAGGCACCCTAGCATAGAGATTTTATTTTTAAACATTTTGTATAGAAATCATAAACAGGAGAAAATAAATTCTAATCAAGTGGCATGTTTAATAAATGATAGGACAAAAGTTGTATGCTTTACCTGTCAAAATTCTGTATCCAAAGTATAAGGCAACTATCAAAACAGCTAATACAGAGACTGAAGCCAAAGCAACGATTATTGTTTCATCTCGGTTAAATGAATGAGGTGGACCTAAAAGAAAACAAAATTTTAAAACATTGCCATTTTTTTTTTTTTTTAGTGTTTTGTTAAATACTGACAGACTGTCCTTTAGAAAGGCCATATCAACACATAATCAAATGACTAATGCTTTCGTATCAAAGGAAAAGAAAAAATTAGTGATAATTGTAAATTATATATTTTTAATCATACAGACTATTTTATATAGATTTAGAACCCTGAAACACCTGTTAAGTGTGCTCCTAATTACTAAAATATCAAGTATATCGTGGAACAGCATAGACAAGATAGAATAAAGTTTAAGAGCACAGTCTGAGAATCACATTTGGTTTTGAATTCTGGCTCTACACCACTCTCAGTGGTTCTGGCAATATATTTGACGTTTCTGTGCCTCAATTTTCTAATTTATAAATATAGTACTCTGTATCTCCCAAGTTAGCTGTGAGGCTTAGATGGAAGTCTAAGTGCTTAGTACTGTGTCAAGAATATACTATCTATGCCAAAAATAAGTTATCAATATTAGTATTACTGTCACTGAACAATATCTATGAAATACGTGTAATATTGGTTGTTATTCTTTCACCTATTAAAGGCCATCATGGTTGCTTTCAAGTTTGGCAACTGTGAATGAAGCTGCTAAAAATATCTGTGTGCAAATTTTTGTGGGACTCATTTAGGTAAATGCTTATTGCTAGGGGCATAATTGCTAGATCATATGACAAACCTATGTTTAGCTTTGTAAGAAACTATCAAACTGTCTTCCAAAGTGGCAGTACCATTTTGTATCCCAAGCAACAATGGAGAGTTCCTGCTGTTTCACATCCTCATCAGCACTTTGCGCTGTCAGTGTTTTGTTGGTCATTCTAATAGGTTTGTACCGGTATCTCATTATTGCTTTAATTGGTTCCCTAATGGCCAATAATAAGCATATTTTTATATGCTTATGAAGTATGGGTACTAAAAAAACACCGAAATTATCTTTTGGAGGGCAGGCCCTTTGTAGCAGAGGCTTTCCCTACTAGGTAAGTGTTTTAGGAACCCATTGGCACCAGTGTACAGCTAGTGTTGTTTTGAGAGGTTTCAGCGAATTTTTTTTGAAGATTCTTTCAATGCATTTGCCCATTTCATGATAGGTGATTTGTGAGCACACTTTCCCACACTGCACTGAGTGTTCGGCAGTTTTGCACCAAAAACAGTGTGACTCCTGCATCCCACTCTTCCTACTCACCCAATCTCTCCCTGAATGACCTTTTGAGAAAAAAAGTCCTCAAAGTTTTGCTGATGTGGAAAAAGTGAAACAAAAAACACAGAAGTACTAAAGGGCATCAAAACGGATGAGTTCAAAACTCTTTTGAGCTGTGGAAAACGTGGTACAGCATCAAACAGAGAGCACTTTGAAGGTGACTGAAGTTTAAACACATAAGGATAAATATATATTTTTGAACAAATAGATTCCAGTTTTTTTTTTTTTTTTTTGGAGTTGGAATGGGAGTCTCACTCTGTCACCCAGACTGGAGTGCAGTGGCCACTCCCGGCCACTGCAGCCTCGACCTGCTGGGCTCCAGCGATCCTTCCACCTCAGCCTTCCAAGTAGCTGGAACTACAGACGTGCGCTACCACGCCCGGCTAATTTTTGATTTATTGTGGAGATGAGGTTTCGCCAAGTTGCCCAGGCGGGTCTCGAACCCTCGGGCTCAGGCAATCCACTCACCTCAGCCTCCCTGGCTCAAAAAAACAAAAACCAAACCCAAACAAAAGCCAAACCCAAACATGTCAAAAGAACTACAGCATCACTCAGAAATATAACAAATCTTAAAAACATGTTGTATGAAGAAAATACACACAAAAATGCTGTGATTTATATAAATTTCAAAAACTAGAAAAGCTAAACTGTATTTAAAGGTGTATATAAGAAGTAGAGAAACTATATTTAAAAAAGCAAGAAAATGATTATAATGCTATCCTTAATGGAGAAGCAGAAAATGTGATCAGGAAGAGATATGCAGGAGTCTTATGGAATGTCCTCTTTCTTGACTTGGGATTGTTGAAACTTCATGTTGAATTATGTTTTACTATAAAATGCTTATGCACAGAAAACAGACTGGAACCCTAATATGTTAACAAAGATTTGGGGTGACTTTTATGTACACATTTTCCACAAAAATGTGTATTATCTTTATTTTAAGCAGAAAAAAACCCAACAGCCATCATTTAAAATACTTCACATCTTGTTCTTTAGGAATTCACAATGTAGTACCAGTTTTCATATACGAGCTACACTATTTATTAGCTGAGCACAGAATATTCCTGCTTTAATATCAATGTGGAATTATTCTCCAACATTTATTTTTGGGGTCCTAGCTGTTCTGAAAGTCTGAAAATTTAAAAATGGTGGTATTTGCTATGTAAGATTTACTGTAGAAACAACACTACTTAAACTCTACGCTAAACAAAATGCATACTAAAATGGTTTTCAACCTATTTTCCTCTATCTACAAAATCTAAACATATCAGAGGTATCATCAATTTCATACCCATTACATAATCATTGAATCCTAATTTGTACTAAATGGTCAAGAGGTTTACCCAAAAGATAAGCCATTACCCTCTCTCTCCTTATTGGCAAATATTAAAAGATAAGATTAATAAAGCAGGCACATAATACTTCAACTCCACTGGGCAATATACATCTTAGACAAATCATCAACATTAGGATAATCTAGTGATTTCTTTAGAATGAACTATCAAAGTAAACAAAGGAATGGGAACAAACCATTTAAAAGATGTTCTTTTTTATTTTTGAGTTGGAGTCTTACTACTCCATTGCCCAGGCTGGAGTGCAGTGGCATGCTCACGGCCACCATAGGGTTGACCTGCTGAGTTCAGGCGATCCTTCCAAGTAGCCGGACCTGTAGGTGTGCGCTACCACACCCGGCCAATTTTCTTATTTATTGTAGAGATGAGGTCTCACCAAGTTGCCTAGGTTGTTCTCAAACCCTTGGCCTCCCAAAGTGCTGGGATTACAGGCTTGAGTCACCACACCCAGCCTAAAAGATGTTCTTAAGTACAGTTAAACTGTTTTGCATAGTATGGGTTGTTGAAAACCCACAAAGGCATATAGATTAGTCCGATAAGAAACCAAAAGCTCTGAGATGCTCGTTATGAGTAGAAGCTTGGGGTTAATCCTGAGAGCCAACAACAACAAAAAATTGCAAACAGGTTCTGTAAGAAATAAATGAAGGTATAAGTCAAAAAATGCTCCTCACATGTGTATGTCTATTTTAACAGGAGACTGTTCAGCATTATCTATATGTGTAGATGACTTTGTTGACACCTTCAGATTATAAGGTACTAACTAGCATAAAAAATATACAATCAAGTAGGGTTTTTTAAAGTAAAATGTTTATATTTTATCCCTCAAAATTAACAAACATGACATTATCTCTAAAATAAACAACAGGGCCAAATTCTTTGTGGAAGGCACCCATTAAAAAAGAACGCTGACAATCTAAATAAAAAAGTCACCTTATTCTGCAGTGGAATTCAATAGATGTTGCAATAGATTTATATGTTCTTCTGCTACAAAGTAAACTTGAAATAGCAAAGAGGAGAATAGACAGTCTTAAAAATGGTGGTTGAGCCACAACCAAAGGTTGTAAGGGATGTGATTTAAACATGCTTCATAAGCTTGTAAGTGCTGGTTTTATCTGGCATAAGAAGCAAGATAGCTCTGTGTGGTATCTTCTCCAGATAGAAATGTGAGATGCTAATTCATTCTTACATATGGTCTAATTAAAGACATTCTTTAGGGAACTAGTAGCAGAGTCATATACTGATTATCTCAACCAATAGTGAGGAACTGGCACTTAAACTCTTGGAATAATCTTTGAAACAACACAGGGAGTGAGGGCTCTGCCTTCAATTATTTAGGATAGGAAGAAACATGCATACTAAAAAAAAAAACCTCTTAGATGTGGAAATATACCAGTTAATTTTTAAAATATGTGGATTAATTAATTCATGTAGACACAGAATTTTTTAACAAAAATACTTTATATAGCCCATTGAATATTTTAGAGATATTTAAACAACACACTAAAAACTAAACTCCTTATCTTCACCTACCCCAAACCAACCTGTCTTCCATATTAGTGCCACTGAAAAATGATTAGTACAGGGGAGCCAAAAACGTTGCAAAAGAGGCAAATGAGTACCTAGCAATTAAATATGTTTAACTTGAACTATTTTGCATCATGAAATGCTCTTAAAAGTACAAAGCATTTTTCTAAACTAGAAATACTGGAGTAAAGATCTACAAGATAGGGTTACCTTTTTTTAATTTTTTTGCTGCGTCAGGGTCTCACTCTGTTACTCAGGCTGGAGTGTGGTGGCACAATCATGGCTTACCACAGCCTCAACCTCCTGGGTTCAGGTGATCCTCCCACCTCAGCCTCCCGAGTTGCTGGGACTACAGGCATGCACCACCATGCCCACCTAATTTTTTTATTTTTTGTGGAGACAAGGTCTTGCTAGATTGTCCAGGCTGGTCTCAAACTCCTGGCTTCAAGCAACATCGGCCTCCTCAAGCGATGGGATTACAGGTAGATGTTACCATTCTGAATATCCATTAGTGATATTCTTAGGGCCTTTTACGGATTCTCAAGCCATTGGGGTTTTAAAAAATAATTGTGTTTGACTATCAATTTTTCTACTTCATCCTTTGTCTACTAACTCTTTTTTAATGTTGTCAATGTGCTTGTCTTAATGTTTTTCAAAATCTAGTATGGACTTTAAAAACATACTAAAAAAACCTAAGGGACTTTTCTAAAAATTTTATTATGAGTTTTCATACAAAGATTCTGTAGCATCTATCTTGCCTGCTTATAGGATTTCTAGCCTGCTTTCTGGTTCTTGGCTACGTATCAGACACATACAAGTATCTACATATGTAAGCCACTACTGTACCACCTTACTACCCCAGGTCGCCATAAACTATATCAGAAACCTCAATG